CGGTAATTATATCACAGTTTCCTATCACAGTACAATTTTGCTACGTCAACATTTTTATTTGCTATGGGAGGGGCAGTTTGGCTCGGAGGAGGGACTGGAGGTTGAAGTATATGGCCATATTCCTCCACTGCAGAAGGAAGATGTCTTATGGTGTTTTTAGCCCACTTGCTAACATTAGCCTACATTCAAGAAGCATCTGGATTTTGTTCAGATTTGGGTGCGTGAACTTTGTGGCATAACAGTAAGAACAGGAATTCTGGGATGCAGTGCGCAGTCACCAGGCTAAGTCAGCTGTTGACCAAATGCTAATGAACAAACGGTGCCTGTTAAACTCGCTTCATGTCTTTTACAATCATTTAACCCACCATGGGCAATAAAAAAATCACTGTTGCAAACAGTGCAGTGAGCAGAACTGTCATTATTTTTTACTGCCATTACTGCAGGGGTACACTTTACTATATTCTGGGGTGAGGTGCATTTTTTGACAGCTTGCCATGGTGCTGCAGGACACGCAGCTAAACTGACGGACAGAGCAAGAGATTGAATGTAAAGCCTGCCTACAAAGAAAAGTGAAGAAAAGTCACCTACTGAAGAGCAGAATGACTAATCAGGATACTCACTTGCTCTCTCTCTCCATGTCTAAATCACTTGCTTGATCTAAAAAAAAAAAAATCTGATTTTTGTAATACTGTATATGATTTGTGGCATCAGGGAGCTGCTATCAATAATCAGGAGACTCCCTTAACTTCCAGGAAAGGCGGGGTATCTGTCAATGCAAAAAAAAAACAGATTAAGGCAGCTAATGCCTCCTTGTATGTCTACACATTTCAAATGCAGAAAATATAACATATTGCTGGGGAGGCTTTAGAGGTGCTGGGAGGCACCTACTACATATCTAGGCTGAGTGATGGGAAGTGTAGCAGGTAAACAGTAATATAACTTTTTCAAAGAATATAAAGTATCTGTGTAGCTGATTACACTTAAAGTATCAGCGTTTTCTGCTTTGTTTACTTATTAAAAAAGACTTTTGCCTACTGCAGCACTGTTGGCTGGGATATGTGAGGTACTGAGCCCTCACTAACCTCACTATGCCCTTCCTCTGCAGGGCAAAGCAGGCCTATTCTCCACTAGCCATTAATATGCACCTCGTCAGCAAGGCAGTGCCAGGAGCGGCTACACTAACCATTGTTCTGCGACAATCAAATTAGCCCTGCTGATGAGCCCTGAGCTCTGTGACCTCCACAGGCCTAGTGGCTTCCCAGCTACAAAAATGACAGAGAAGACCTGAAAGCTTGAGTCTTCAGGGAGGGCGGGGCTCACATACTGATTTTTGATTATGTGGGCCCTCACTTTATTTATATATTTACCCACTTGAGACAAGGTGTTGAGTGCAGTATATGAAACAGATGCCCTCAGCAAGTAACAAGACGTGAACCTGGTGTTGATGTCTACCAAAGACAAAGAACCTTTATCGTGTGTGCATATTTTTTGCAAGTGTGTTACTTGCCCCTTGTTCGTGCAGCTAGCATACATGTCACACTTAGACATTGTCAGTCAACTCATCCTTCCCAGATCCCTGCAGACCATCCCTCCATTCCCTCCTCCTCACTCGCTCTTTTCACCCCACGTCCGCATTTGTCTGATTTAGTGTGATCAGATGTGAGAGCCGATGCCTGCTGTTGTTAATGCACAGTGGGCCACATATAATAGCAGCTCACGCTGCCTATACTCCCACTCTGCTGTGGGGACACCATGAATCAGGTGGTAATTGGAGAAAGAAAGAGGTAGGAAATTAGATATGCAGCAAACCAATATTTACAGTCCCATCAAACACTGATGGAAGTAGCCCCTCGATTAATGTTTTGTATCCTCCAGTTCATTCTTCTACCCAGCCCCATCCTGGGTGCACAGATTCAACTGAAATATCCTGTACATATATAGAGCAGATTTTTGAAACAAGACTTTATCGCCAGGGAGTTCTCAAAGCCCAGCTCACCTGCAGATTTGATATGGATCAGTGAGGGTTCATTGGGAGAGTGGAGCTTGGCGGAACAAGGTAAAGAAATCACAATCAGATCATGCAATTACACTCTGGATGACTGGATCGGGTGGCAGCTGAATGGTCGATGAACGGGGAAAATGAGAGAGAGGGCTGAAGCAGGAAGTTCATGTCCTGTAATTTTCAAACATGTTAAATGCGATACTCTGACAGTTGAATGTGGGCTTTTTCCCTTCAGTTGGCAGATATTACAATATGGAGGAAAAATTGTTAACATTAATTTTATCGATATTTAACCGAGAATCAGCTTGTTAGATTTCTGAACTTTGTCCCTATAATTTGACAAGGGCCAAATGGTGAAAACCAGACTCAATTTCATTGTGTCAAGGTATCACTTGAAGATGTTTTGCCGATTATCCAACTCATTTGTTTGCTCTGCAAAGTTCTGGACACGTATTCATTTTTGGACCCAGTGAAGATTCAGTGTGATTAATGAAAAAACAGTCCCTCTACTTTATTAGTTTATAATTACAGTAACAAGACATTAATGATTATTAGAGTGAT